GATCATGACCTGAGCCAAAGGCAGACGATTAACGACTGAGCCACCCAGGCACCCCAACATTTAGAAATTTTGTAGCATTTTTGACATATTGTTTAGTAAATAAAACCTGACCAGTAGACAGTAGGTAACCAAAGAGGTTAATATGTGTTAAATAATATTTTACCTAATGGTAAAATCTAGGATGGCAAATTGATGGTTTTAGAGGATGATAGAAGCTAATAGTTCAAGATTTCTGCTCTCTGCCCTGTCAAGATATTGTAGGATTATTTTTTCCTACATTAAGTGTCACTAAAACCAGTTAGGGCTATTTTATTCTGAGAATAGCTTTGTGAGGGGGTTGCTTTTTCCCACATCTCCATCTGCTGGTTTGAGAAACGTGCACTGCTGATGGGGCAGTGTAATAATTGAGAGATAGCTAGCTAGTTAACAGATCACTTTATACAGATAGATTTTATTTATTACTTAAAGGTATGAGCTGAAAGGTTAATGGCTCATGACCTTTATATGTAAATATTTTGGCAAAACTAGGATTTTTTAAAACAGATTTTAATAGAGATGATGTTAAAATTAAAGGAGGAGGGGGTACCTGGCTGGTTCCGTTGGCAGAGCATGTGACTCTTGATCTCAGGGTCATGAGTTCAAGCCTCACGTTGTGTGTGGAGCCTACTTAAAAAAATTAAAGGAGGATAAAAGATATTTCAAAGTGTACCACCAGCAGGAGATGTGAAAAGATAAATGTTAAAGCCTGCATATTATAATTGCTATCTAGGTTAAAGACATAATCACTTCAGGATTATATCCTTTTGGGACTCATAATGAATAACTTAATATTTGGCTCAGTATTAAAGTTAATTTGATTGAATAACTTTACTTTGAAATTTAAAAAGTTTTAATAAGCCCTATGAAATAGATCTGCCTTTTTATATTGTACTCTCTGCCACTGAAGGTCACAGTTCCTTCTCATAGGAAACCTATTATGGAATCTGACAGCGGAATGTAGAGCTAAAAAATGGACTGTGCTTCAGAGGGCACAGTCTGTGAAAAATGAAGTGTTTGTGCTCACAGTAAACCAGCATCATTAAATAAAACAAAAAGTTCTTGTAATTATAGGTATTAAGATTGCTAGTACATGCATTTAGAAACCAAACCACAAATTAAAATACTAATTTGCCATTAAGCAGCTGACAACCTATTGTATATCTTTAAGGCCTTTAAAAGATTTCTCTCGGGACTCTGTAGCTGCTTTTGGTAATAGGGTTTTCTTTCCTTAAGGATTTTATTTTCAAATGTAAATAGTACTTCATGTATGGAAAAGAAGCCCGTTGTTCTTTTTTTTAAAAAAAAGATTGTATTTATTTATTTGACAGAGAGAGACACAGCGAGAGAGGGAACACAAGCAGGGGGAGTGGGAGAGGGAGAAGCAGGCTTTCCGCTGAGCAGGGAGCCCGACACAGGGCTCGAGCCCAGGACTCTGGGATCATGACCTGAGCCGAAGGCAGACGCTTAACGACTCAGCCACCCAGGCGCCCCTGCAGCCTGTTGTTCTTTACAAAATTTTTTAAATCTGAAATAATGATGAAGAGTTCTAGCAAATTAGTGGTATTTCATATGAACTATATTAATGGATTATTTTAAAACAAAGATGCAAAGAAAAATGTTTACTGAGCCACTTAAGGAAAGAGATCATCGGGACACCTGGGTGGCTCAGTCGGTTAAGCGTCTGCTTTCAGCTCAGGTCGTAATCCCAGGGTCCTGGGATCGAGTCCCCCATCGGGCTTGCTCTACCTCTGCTCTCCCCCTCTGACTGACAAACAAACAAGTGTGATTATTTAAAGTGCATACTCTTCTAGAGGACTTTCAAGCTTTGGAGAGATTTTGAGTACTACAACTGCATTTGTACCATTTAGGTTCAAATCCTTATTTGAGAGGTTTTTTTCTCTTGGTTATAAATCTGAACATTTGCACCTGTTGACAATCACTTACAGGTTTATGAACCACATGAAGCACCATTTGGAACTTGAGAAGCAGAACAGTGAGAGCTGGGAAAACCACACCACCTGCCAGCATTGCTACCGTCAGTATCCCACACCATTCCAGCTGCAGTGTCACATTGAGAGTACACACACTCCCCATGAGTTTTCTAGTAAGTCACAGCTTTATGGAAGTCTTGAACAGTAACGATTGTGGTCGTCTAAACTATGAGGAGTCCTTAAGAATCCTGACCAGAAACCTAAAAATAAGAAATAGACTTTGGATTTGAGGGCACAGTTGAAAAACAAATTTCAACTTGTACAAACTTTTCAGTAGAATTGCTTGCGAAAACTGAAGTCCTTCTTGTACACAGAAACTTCCTTTTGCATGACTCATGCATTCACTGTATGTAGGGGGCTAAGTTAGAAAATCAGATTCTCTGGTTTGCAAGTATGAAATCATTGGTCTTGATTCACGCTCTCATAAGAAAAGGAACTGCAGTGATAGTTAAAAATCACAGAGTCCGGGGCTAGCTAGGATTTAAGTTCCGGCTCTGTATCTTAATATGGTTGCGAGGTCTCAGGCAAGTTCCTTAATCTTTCTGTGCCTCAGGTTCCTCATCTGACAAATGGGGGTAAGATAGCAGTACTCTGTCAGTGATGGCATGAGAAGTAAGCCGATATAAGTGAAGTCCATGGAACAGCATTGCGGAGTTAACAACCGTAGAGCTGTTGGAGCCACCACCACGATTACTGTTGCTACTTATTGCTGTTGTTGTGGATGTACAAAATGAATCTTTTGTTTATATACATCCATAAAATGGTGTAATGTGTTTTTTTCCACTTTCAGCTATTTGTAAAATCTGTGAATTATCATTTGAAACAGAACATGCTCTTTTGCAACATATGAAGGACACTCATAAACCCGGTGAAATGCCATATATTTGCCAGGTACACATTCATTTTACCATGTACTTAGGTGTTTGTTTTATTTTCATGTGCCACAAAATAGTAGTACTCTATCGCTCTTTTTAACCGTTAGAATAAAATGGATTACTAAAATTGAAGACCCTCTTCAATAGCGGAAAATCCCTTGACATAACTCTTGTATGTGGAGATGGTGGCTTGGACTTGGACTGGAGGCTGCAGTTTACTGACCCCTCTCCTAGACAGACAAAATGCCCTGCTGGAGAAGACAAATATATGGATTTTCTTACCATGTAGAGAAGAATATAGACATGACAGAGAAATAGGAAATGCTATTAGTTATGGGGAACTCAACTAAATGCTTTGGGACTAGTATTTTTCCAGAATTTGAAGTGGTTCCCAATAAGATAGCAAGATAAGAAAAATTTCCTCTGTCATAGCCTGGATGCTATTTAAAATCCAAAGAAAAGAATATTCTATTTTATACAGCAGGACAAACTTTCTAGGACAAGAGATGTCAGAGTTTAAAAATTCAAGCAAGGTAGGGAGGGTAGTAGATCTGAGAAGAAGAAGAAAATCTGGTTATATTTAGGAATATATCCCTAAACTTTGAAAGGTAACTTTTCTGTTTCGAAGATTATACTTATTATTTTCAGTGCTAGAATTCTTGGTTGTATAGGCAAGAGAGCTGAATTAGCAGTGCGTAATATTCCTCTAAACAAGTGACTCCTCATTGCTACTTTGATGTAATTGCGTATCAGGTATAAACTTTCAAGTTAAACTAAACCTTCTTTATATTTCTAGGTGTGCCAGTTTAGATCATCAACATTTTCTGATGTAGAAAGTCACTTTAGAACATCCCATGAAAACACTAAGAACTTGCTATGTCCATTTTGCCTCAAAGTTAGTAGAATGGCAACTCCCTACATGAATCATTACATGAAGCATCAGGTGAGATTTAGCAGTTATTTGCTCATTTTGTCTTAGTAAAAAGGTAGATATATAAAACTTTGAGCATTTGTTAGATTTGTTCTAAAAGGAAAGTTAAGTGGTTCCAAATGACACAATTAATTTACAATTTATGCTGAATGACTTTTGAAACTTCCACTTCTTTTCTTTGTCTGCTTCCTAGTGGTGATGAGGCTCTTGACTAGTGAAAATACGGAAACAAAGGTAGAAGTAGGAACCCTAGAGTGGAAGGGAAAAGGGAAGATGGGTGAAATATTTAAGTTGAATATTTCAGGTGTCTAAGAGTGGTGAAAATGGAAAGGATTTTGAAGGTAGTTAATCGAGAGTAGGGAAAAGGATATGTTTGAACTGGGGAATAAGATTGAGGACTCAATCTTTTTTCCTCCTTCTCTTCAAACTTCATTTCTACTTTCTAGCTTACTTTTCATTATGAAAAGACATGTGGTTGTCATTAGCAACCCAGAATGGTCTTTTGTAGCAGCCAGTGACAAAGGAAATAGCAATGACACTTATTTCTAGATGTGTGAACTATGCCAGAGAACTATATTTAGGTTATAACTTGTTTCCTGGATGACTTTTGCCAGTTCTGCTATGTAATTTCTGGGATACCAGTATTAGTGCTTGTACCTTTCTCTTGAATTCTCATTTTATTCTTGCTGGGTCTTCTACTGACACAATTAGACCATCCTTTAGTTAGGCTGAAAACTTCGATGAAACCGTAAGCCTATTCTTGAGTGTGTGAAAGAGCAACGGTACCTTTGCCAAAATGAGAAGTCAGTGAGTTTACTTAATGTGATTATGTAATCAAGTTTTGTCTCCTCACTGATCAGCTCATTACGTTTTCTTATTATTGATTGCATTGCCATGGCCAATTTACTCAGCACTGGTGCTAACATTGTTTTCAGTTCCAGTCATTAGATGATCATGAAATCAACTTGTAGTTGTTAATTGAAAAAAAAAGTTACAAAAGTAGACTATCCGAGTACATTCAGGATCACCTATGTTATGAATGGGATGGTTCCAACATGCTGGTATGGCATGTCACCGTTAAGAACCTCTGGCAAAAATCTTTCTATTCTAGAGTTTCCCCAACAGTTTTCCATCAGATGTTAATAAATGTTCCACTCTAAAATTGCTCCTGGAAAAACAAATTCAGTAAATGACTAGATTTATAAAATTAACAGTTTTTTATTTTTAAGATTAGAGCTTTTAAAATGCTGGAAAACCTCATAAATCTCCAAGGAAGGGATATTGTACATATTGTTTCCAAGACTTATTTAACCATTTATTTGCACAATACCTATTAACATTTCTTGAGAAATAGTTCAGAAAACGCTGGTCTTGGTTCTCTATTCCATCTTTTGACCTTTGATTTTGTTTTTTTTAAATATTTTATTTATTTATTTGATAGAGAGAGGCACAGCGAGAGAGGGAACACAAGCAGGGGGAGTGGGAGAGGGAGAAGCCGGCTTCCCGCCGAGCAGGGAGCCCGATTGCAGGTCCCTGGGATCATGACCTGAGCTGAAGGCAGACGCTTAACGACTAAGCCACTCAGGCGCCCCTGACCTTTGATTTTGAAAGGAAGGATGAGATGTAAAACAGTAGCTCTATTTCATTATGAAGCTTTTAACATAGTGCTTTCTGCCGTGCTTTCCTAAGCTCCAGAGTGAGATATAGATGTAAGGAGAGTAATAGTATCCTTAGAAAGGTAAGAAAGAGATGGATGGACTTGGTATGGGGACTGTGTCTCTTAAGTGGTTTACCTGATCTGTAGTCACTCTTCATACCCTGAATTGTATGTTTAACTTGCCGTGTGTATAGGAAAGAGTTAACCCAGCAGGTCTGAGTTCTTCAAATCGTGTACATTTTCAGAAGGGTCTACTTGCATACTTGCATAATTGGCCCTTGGCTAACTCCTGGAAATGGAGGCTTTGTTATTAATTGATGAGTGTTTTGCACGCCTGGAACCTTGAGCCATATTGTACCAGCTTTTCTAGATCATTTGTACAAAAAGTATGATTATGGTGAGCACCTGCTTTTCTTCTGGAAGACTGAAGATTTGGTAACTGAACCCTTTAAAAAAAAAAAAAAAAACCTGGCCTCTTAGACTCAAGAGAGCTTTCCTGGTAAAAAGCACTTCATACATGTTGCTGCAGTTAGTTGCTGGGGGATTGATTGAGGCGTGTCCTCTGCAACTCCATTGGGAGAGGGCGCTTGGAAGCTGTTGCCAGTATCCTCCAGACTCCACCCAATGCACTTTTTTCCTTTATTAATCCTGCTCTGTATCCTTTCACTATAATACATCATCATATCTATGAGTATAACAACTTCTAAGTCCTGTAAGTTCTACTGCATCATCAAACCTGGGAGGAGTCTTGAGGACTACTGACACACCATTGGTGCCCAGTTTTTGTGAGTTCGGAGTACCTGAGAGGTAGGCAGTCAGCAGTCAACAGATGAAAGACTCTTAATCAGAAGGATCATCAGGCATTTTTGAAAGCACTTGCAATTTACACAATTGTTCACAAAAGACTCAAAAACCGTAACTGAGCAGGACTATACTTGTAATTGGGGTAATATAGGTGTGATTTTAGGTATTAGGAATTACTGAATATATGGCTCATTCTATTCTTTTTAAAGACTTTAGTTGTAACCTTTTCCTAAAAAGAACATATTATCGGGGCACCTGGGTGGCTCCGTCGTTAAGCGTCTGCCTTCGGCTCAGGTCATGATCCCGGGGTCCTGGGATCGAGCCCCAC